TGTTTGTAGGTTTTCCGAGATCGATCACTGGAAGCTCTTCTTATATAAAGATCCATGGAAAGATATGCATCTTAATCCAAGTTGCCTTTGAGTTTGTTTCAAACCATTTTGTTATTTGAAAAAAAGGTGTTTTGAAAGTAATTTTTCTCTCAGTCATATGAATCGGTAGATATTGAAAATTCAATAAATATAGCAAATTTAACAAAGTTCTAAAGAACTCCATAGAGAAAATCGAAGTTTCTACTGTAATAAATCAAAATATCATATTTTTTCACCAAAGTACATCAAAGTATAAAAGTTTTACTATATATAAAGGAGCCAGTATTACAGATAGCACATCAAAGTTTTTGCTATATAAAAGTTTTGCTACAGTTAATCAAAGTTTAATAATATTCACTGTAATATTATATTAAAGTATCAAAGTTTCTTCTATAGCGAATAAAAGTATCAAAGATTTTATCATAGTAAATCAGCGTTCTATAATTCTATAATATTCATATTAGCAAACCAAATAATCAAAGCCTTTACTATTATAGTAATTCACAGTAGTAAATCAAAGTGTTTGTTTTGACACCATAGTAAACGACAACTTATAATAGTAAATTGTAGTTTACTATTAATAATATTTTATGTTAGAGAGTACATGGTGGTGGGGGAGAGGGTATATGTCAACTATATGCTTACATTTGAATACTTAGTATTGTAACAAGATCCCTGATCATACTAATCCTTTGAACAATTGCACGTTGCTAGTTACATGCATATACATGTAGATATTATTGTGCGTGTTCTTGTACATACTTATAGTTTTAAATTTTAGCTAGACTTGGCTTTTCTGATCATATGTTGCCTGGCGTCCCTCTGTAAAGTTATCTTTCTTCTTAAGGAGGGATTCTTCTCTTATTCTACTCATATTTCTTGTATTTAAAAATTAATGAAATTATCATAGATTCAAGAAGACAATATCACTAAGTGATGGTATCAGTTAGATTAAATTTGACCGTTTTATTTTAGAAACAATGTCAGGTCAAGGTCATTATCTTTTTCCTTGACATTTAGTGTAAAAAATTACTGTTGTTAATCATGTGATGCCTACTTCTATTTTAAAAGATAAAATGTATTTCTTTTTGCACAAAAAGATGTTACCATATCGGGTCTATCAGATGATTCTACCAAATTAATTGGCATTATTTAACTTAAATAGATATTGGCTAATCCGGATTTCCTCTGTTTTTCTTAATTTTTAAGGATATATTAGTTATTTTTATATACTTCTTATATTCAAATATTTCTTATTTTTACATATGGGTAAGTAGTCATATAAATATACAAAGTGATACAAAAACAAAAAGATTTGACGGTTTAGTAAGAGAGAAAAAAACACTTTTTACTGATTTTTTGCTCAAATCTGTTTTAAGATTGGAGGCTTTCAGAAGCTAACAAGATTGTAGTTTGTTTAGAAAATCATTTTTATTTGCTATGTTTTAAAACTTTAGGGCATTATTGTTAATTTTAGTTACATATCAAAATTTCTTCAAGTCTTTGATTGTTTAAAAAAATTAACCAAATGTAATGTTCTGCAAGTGATTTTGATAGGCAGAAAAGGAGATATTTTCATACGCCGCAGTTGCGTCAAAAATATAGTCCCTTATGGATTTCAAACTCAGTTTACCATTTCTATTTAAAATTGTACAATTATGATGAGTAAAGAAAAATATGATCTTTTAAATATATTACAGCTAAGTTTATAAGACATACAAGCAAATATACTTGGATTATTTCGTCTAGTCAGAAACCAGACAAGAATCCCTCCTTAAGAACCACTGGGCCACTTTTGACCAAAGTAAGTTGACACAAAGAATCTGTGAGTAAAGCGAATTCTACGTTAATCAAAGGAAGGTCAACCCCCGTCCAAGGGGAGAAAATCAAGAAAGGTAATTACATGTATAGGGTAGGGTCATTAAAATCGTCTTCTCAAGAACCGCTGAACAAGATATGAAAAAACTTATAAGAAAAAATCCTTTAATAGAGTATATACATGTACTAAAATGTTCAAATCATGACCCACGGGGGTAGGGTTGGGCCACAATAGGGATCGAAGTTTTACATTTGAATAAACAGGAATTTTTAAAATCTTCTCAAGAACCACTGAACATGAAAAGACGAAACTTATGTGAAAGCTTTCTGGTGTAATGTTTATTCTATTGATTATAGATTCTATTCTATGTTCAAAGTACGGCGCTTAAGGTAAGGTGGAGCCACAATAGATAATCAAAGTTTTACACTGGAATATACTGGAACAAATTTTTAAAGATCTTCTCAAGAACAACTGACCATGCAGAAAAACTGAAACTTATTCAAAAGCTTCCTAACATACTCAAGAACCACAACAGTATCATTAGTTTGCAAAAATAAATAAATAAATAAATAAATAAATAAATAAATAAATAAATAAATAAATAAATAATAAATAAAATAAATAAATAAATAAATTTGTATGGATTCAAGTTTTTCTCGAATAATTGACTTTGGGGTAGAGTTGACTTTAATCTGGATCAAATTTTAGATAATGTATGTTCACAGGAAAAAAAATTCTTCTCCATAACCGCAAAGCAAGGTTTTTCATATTGATATTGAAGAATCTCCATATTGTGTGGAATCAGAGACCCCTTAAAGTTAGGGTGGGGCAGTAATATGGGGTCACAATTTTTCATGGGAATATATAGGAGAAAAATCTTCTAGAAAAATCAGGTGAGCATTCTGGCCCATGGACACCTCCTTAATTTTCCATTTGTTTTGTCCCAGGTTTCAGATATATACCCCCTTTAATTTACCAGATATGCCTTTAATTTTATTCAAATTTTGTTTAAACCTTTCACTTAAGTTTAATAATATTCACTATAATATTATATTAAAGTATCAAAGTTTCTTCTATAGCGAAGAAAAGTATCAAAGATTTTATCATAGTAAATCAGCGTTCTATAATTCTATAATATTCATATTAACAAACCAAATAATCAAAGCCTTTACTATTATAGTAATTCACAGTAGTAAATTAAAGTGTTTGTTTTGACACCATAGTAAACGACAACTTATAATAGTAAATTGTAGTTTACTATTAATAATATTTTATGTTAGAGAGTACATGGTGGTGGGGGAGAGGGTATATGTCAACTATATGCTTACATTTGAATACTTAGTATTGTAACAAGATCCCTGATCATACTAATCCTTTGAACAATTGCATGTTGCTAGTTACATGCATATACATGTAGATATTATTGTGCGTGTTCTTGTACATACTTGTAGTTTTAAATTTTAGCTAGACTTGGCTTTTCTGATCATAGGTTGCTTGGCGTCCCTCTGTAAAGTTATCTTTCTTCTTAAGAACCACTGGGCCACTTTTGACCAAAGTAAGTTGACACAAAGAATCCGTGGGTAAAGCGAATTCTACGTTAATCAAAGGAAGGGTCAACACCCGTCCAAGGGGAGAAAATCAAGAAAGGTAATTACATGTATAGGGTAGGGTCATTAAAACCGTTGAACAAGATATGAAAAAACTTATAAGAAAAATCCTTTAATAGAGTGTATACATGTACTAAAATGTTCAAATCATGACCCACGGGGGTAGGGTGGGGCCACAATAGGGATCGAAGTTCTACATTTGAATAAACAGGAATTTTTAAAATCTTCTCAAGAACCACTGAACATGAAAAGACGAAACTTATGTGAAAGCTTTCTGGTGTAATGTTTATTCTATTGATTATAGATTCTATTCTATGTTCAAAGTACGGCGCTTAAGGTAAGGTGGAGCCACAATAGACAATCGAAGTTTTACACTGGAATATACTGGAACAAATTTTTAAAGATCTTCTTCTCAAGAACAACTGACCATGCAGAAAAACTGAAACTTATTCAAAAGCTTCCTAACATACTCAAAAACCACAACAGTATCATTAATTTGCAAAAATAAATAAATAAATAAATAAATAAATAAATAAATAAATAAATAAATAAATAAATAAATTTGTATGGATTCAATTTTTTCTCGAATAATTGACTTTGGGGTAGAGTTGACTTTAATCTGGATCAAATTTTAGATAATGTATGTTCACAGGAAAAAAAAATTCTTCTCCATAACTGCAGAGCAAGGTTTTTCATATTGATATTGAAGAATCTCCATATTGTGTGGAATCAGAGACCCCTTAAAGTTAGGGTGGGGCAGTAATATGGGGTCACAATTTTTCATGGGAATATATAGGAGAAAAATCTTCTAGAAAAATCAGGTGAGCATTCTGGCCCATGGACACCTCCTTAATTTTCCATTTGTTTTGTCCCAGGTTTCAGATATATACCCTCTTTAATTTACCAGATATGCCTTTAATTTTATTCAAATTTTTGTTTAAGCCTTTCACTTAACCAGGGGAAGGACGAAATTTTGAAAAGGATATGTGATTAGGTATCTATTACCTTACAATTTAAGTCCCATGCTCTGGGCGAAGAGGGGTAACTTTTGCATATACATAATGAATTATTTGTTACCTTTCATGGGAAAGGACGGAAATATATGTATTATTAATAATTAATCGATCTATACTTCGCTGAATTATAATTATTCTATCTTTACTAACAATTGGGAAGAAAGTTAGATAGTTGATTTTTCCCCAATAATCGATTTTTTTTAAGGGGCGGGGGTTGATGGGGGTGGTGGTGGTGGTAGTTTTTTTTTTTCATTTTTAGCACAAAACCATTTCATTTTAAACAGAATGAAAATGAAACAGGAGTGGAAAAAAATCGTAAAAATAATAAATATATCAATATATGCATTTTGAATAGAATCTTTTATAGTTGTTTGTAATATCATAGACCTAAACCTTTAGGTTTATGATAATACAAAAGGTTGGTTTTTGTGTTTACAAAGCGGCGTTCTAAGATCCGCTCCCACTATACTTGATTACGTCACAATCAAAGCCATGTGACTCAAAGGGAAGGAACTCTCGGTGTGCATTTGCAAAAAGGTCGATGATTCACGAACTTTCAAGAATGTAAACAAATGCCTTATATATATCGTGACCCAATGTATCAGCTGTTTACTCAGTCTGTGTCACAAACAGTGTTTACATTAGTCATACCCGTTGTATACGCTTTGAAAAAGGTAAGTTTTAACGTTTAAATAAGTTCATTTTGTTTTCAGCTGTTTAGTGTTAGACTTGCTTACAACAGTGTACAAGTATTTTTTTTAAAAAGAAGAGTTTGTGAGCATGGTGAGTTAAATTATTTATGAAGTCTGACTGAAGGATGACTTGTGTTAAGCTTTTCAAAAGTATGAAAGTGGATTTTCATCTATTCCGATCTTATAAATCTGATTTATTATAGTATCAAGTTTTATAATGGAGACAGAAATTGATAGGCCTAACCATGTTTTAATAATACACTTACATTGGATTTGAAGGTGTTCTCTTTAAAGAAGTGGACAGGCTTTCGCCTTCATTCATCCACTTCTCTAAAGAGAATGGATATGAAGCATGATTGAGAAACGAGGGGATGTTAATTGTTTTATATTTTCTTCTATTTTAGATAAAAGAATGAGAGGAGATATAATGAGGGTACCATACCATTCGCATCTTTTCCCAGATCCACCATCAGATTTTTTCAACATGTTCCACAGGGCAAATAGAGAATATGGCCATGTTAGAGAAATACCTGTCCATTATGAACCATTTTCTTCCAATTCCTTCAACAGGGAACATCAGGCAACCGGAAACAGCTCCATTTTTAATGACTTTGCAGCCGATATACCAGAAGACTTTTGGGAACCAGTCTCTGCAGAAGAAGCAGGAAGACTTGAAAAGAATAGTAGGAAATCGCCTAAGAGAAGTCTCGTTCAAAAGGAAGCTGTTATAGACTTATGTAACGATGATGATGATAAGTGTTGTGTTTTAACTTGTGATGCCAACAACAGTGGAGCAAGCGTTAAAAGCCGTCGTAGAAGTTTGTCTAGATCAAGAAAGCGTTTTGCATATAAACATGATGAAACCTCTTCTTCAAGCACAACAAATACTGCTGGTCCTTCAAAGCATGGGGAAAACAAAGAAGGAAAAGTACAGGATAGAGTCAATTGCAATGTAGAAAAAGATCTAGAAGAAGCTTCAATATTCAAGCCAACATTGGAAAAAAAAGAAAAGCAAGATCAAAGAGAGACGGAATGCATTGAAGTTGACTCTTTGGAAGAAGAAATGCAACTACAGAACCTTTGTGATTTTTTTGGAAGTGACAGCAGTATTGTTACACCAAACAAGTCTAGTAAAAATGATGAGAACATTAGCTCTCCCCCAAGCTATCCTGCTTATGATATCATCAAAGATATCCTGGATAAAGAAGGCAGATGTGTAGATTATATCAGAGGTGATGGCAACTGTTTCTTCAGAGCTATAAGTAAAGTGATATATGGGTCAGAAACCTGTCACAGTGAGTTAAGGCAAGCTGTTGTTGATCTTCTGGAGAAGTATCCGAGAGAGTTTGAGCAGTTTATTGATGGATCCGTACATGAACATATCAAATCAATGAGAAAATTGGGAACATGGGCTACACAAACAGAAATTTATCTAGCAGCAACCCTCATACAGAGGGAGATATATGTTCTTTCTCCCGATCACACAGGAGATGTATATCGCTGGCTCCTCTTTTCACCGCAGTTTGTTTACAAAGAATCTTCAGTGTACGATCCATGCTATTTGACTTTATGCCATACTAATGGCAATCATTATGATAGAATAGTGGCTATAAAAAAAAAGTGTAACTGTGATGTCCCTCCACCACAGATGATGGGAGTTCAAGGGGAAGTTGATCTCACTGATGATATTGTATGATGTATTTACAAAATTGTCACTTTAATTATGTAATGTTATATACAGGGTATTCACCGAGTACTCAAAGGTGTATTTACGTGCCAAATTTTGTTATGTTCCTGTGTGCAAAATGTACATTCAATTTTGTACATATTAAGAAAAGTTTGTAAATATTGTAATGTAGTAATGTAAATAGAGATATCCTTTGTAAAGCTGTACATATAACTTTTATTTAAAATTGAAATATTTAAGTCATTGTTAACTATTTAAGTTATTATTTTACCTTTGTGAATTTCAAAGGTTTTGAATAAAACCAGTGATGGAAAAATGATTATGACATTTTATTAATAATGAAGGATGAAGAAGCCTTACAGTTTCTCACAAAAGTTGAAGTTCAGGAGTTTGAGGATATAAAATCTGGTTACAAAATAAACTTTGTGAGTATATTGTTTGAATGGAATCTGGTGATTTCAGGGCATTTTTTCATAATTTATGAAAACAACTTTCAAAGTTTGAAGGTCTTTTTGCAAAGATGTTTACAAAAAAGTTGATCTGTGAAGGGAAGGGCTATTCCAGTATGGGGGTGGATACCTGTCAGCATTCAATATGAAAAATTTGATCAGCTGTATAATGTGTGGTGCACCTGCCACTAGTATGTGTAATGAAGTTATTTAAAAACTCTCAGTGCTCAGAGGTATTATTTGCAAAGAAGGCCACATCCTTTGATTCTAAAACAGTCCAGAAAGAGCCATAAGCATTCATCATTTATCTGTATCTGCATTGAAACAAGCAAGTAATGTATTCATGAACTTCAGTTCTGTCTATTGACCTTAAAAATGTATTCATGAACTTCAGTTCTGTCTATTGACCTTAAAAGCAATTCCAGCATTTAAAATTACTCCATGAATCAAAGACGGTAGAGATTGATTGAAAGTATTCACAATTTAGTAAATGAAAATCTATTTTGAAAGTTCTAAATTGCATGCACATGTATTATAATCATATCTCTCAAATCAAAATCGAGGGATAGTAAAGGACAGCATATATATTGCATACAGTGGAATCATTTTCTCAATAATTAGTGGGGTCAATGTTCATGGGTTACCAAAATCTTACTGGTTCAAGGGGGACCTAATTTCATGGGTAATTAATTAATTCATATACATAAATACAGAAGAAAAAATAAATCAATACTACGACAAAGTTTATTCATGGGTATGTAACTTTGTGGGTGAAGGTGATCCTTGAAATCTATGAACATTGATCCCCAAGATGATTCCACAGTAATCAAATGATGCCCATTATACTACACAGGAAACATTGTATGTGAAGGTTGTATAGGTCAACTACTAGAGGGGTTATCATCATTTACTAAAGTCAGGGTCAAGACCAAAGTACATTCTTAGGAAATATGTTTGAAACATTGTGTTAAGTGTGAGGATAATTTATTTACATGTATTCTCAACACTTGTAAAATGTAAATCATTACCAGTAAGCAACTTCATGGTAAAAAGTCATGATCAAATACAACAATATTTCATTTCTTTGAAATATTTTGATTTAATATTATAATCTGCATAGTTTATTCTCAAAAGAACTAATGATGACTTTTGCCTTATCTTGCTTGCAAATGATTTTGACCAATTTCAAAATGCACTGACATACAGTTGTGTTAAAAGAGAGATAACCTTTTTCTGTTGAATTAATTTATGAATTCAGCCACTAACCAGGGAAAAAATTGTATATATGTGTTGGGAAAAAATATATTGGGAGCAAAAATTCCCCTGTATATAATATATACCCCCTTTACTCACCATTATCAATGGTTGGGATGTAAAAATCCTTCAAGTTCAGCAACAGAAAAAAGAAGTGCACATCTTCAGTGTGTGTACAATCACTGTGCAAAGTGCCCTATAAATTTTTATTATTAACTGTAGACCTTATGAACTGCTGGTTCCCCTGATTTTGCAACATACTTTGAGCAACTAAAAAATAGCACCATATTAGGGTTCAAAATTTATTGACAAAAGAATTTCCTAAAATAGTTGTTCTGGGTATTCAAAAAAATGCCAAGACAGATTATGAATATTCATTAATAATATAAGGTTAGGTGCATTATGAACAATATGTTTTGCATGAACTTAACCCTGTCTTTTTCTTGCTGTGTTATAGCTAATAAGCTATAAAAAAAATATTTCACATCAAATTTTCAAGCTGAAAACACAGCAGAAAAATAAGTTTATATGTAAACTTTCCAAATATTTTGATGACTATGATTTGATGACCGAAACAAATTTAATTGACTTCTTATAAAAATGACAGTAACAAATACAGTGTATGTTTATCAAGACATCACAGTAACATTGTTAACCTCTCCATGCTGCAAAACAAGAAACATATAATACATGTATTCACAATCAACATTAGGCCTAAAATAAAATTTTGTTTGGTCGAAGCATCATTTTGACCTTTGAATTGGAAAGTTTTTTTTTTTTTTTTAAATTTTCTATATGCAAATTTAGAAATACGATAAATCATTTTTTCTTGCTGAAAAAATCAACAATAAAATTCTTTTTGAATTCAGCAACTTTTTTCTGGTTTCTTTGCAAAGGGAAAATGAATAAAATTTTGATTTAGGCCTTATGCTACCAAACAAACACTATCAGAAATATTAAATATGCTTTGATGTATCATCAATGTCTATATGGTCTCTGCTGCCAGGGTTGTGATCTACCACCTCTATCATATGGCTTCTGCACAGAATCACGACTCCTTCTATCATGTCGATGATGGTGAATGTCTAAACTGGCTTTCTGTTTATTCATGAGTCTCTCTCTCTTTTCTTTAAAGTGATCTTGATCATTTCTTTCCCTTGAACTGCTGCTGGGATAAGAAAAATTTCCTTGCAGTGAAATATGCTCCATATTTCCTGCCTCCTGCACAAACCTGACATCTCTTTTGCTGCTTCCCTTGCTGTGAGACCCTCCATGACCTTGAAAATTCTTACTGCCATGACTCTGGAAATCTCTGCTTCCTTGACCATGGAAATCTCTCTTTCCATGACTTTGAAAATTCCTATATCCTTGATCCTGGAAACTCCTGCTTTCTTGATGGTCTCTTGGTCCATGCCAAGTATGTCCTCTCTGCATGGCTGGACTATGATTTGGCACAATGGGGCTATGATTGAACTGGACTTGAGAACCACTAGGAACACTCTCAGATGGACTGTTGTTTTGCATCAGATTTTGTGTTGAGCCTATGCACACAAAAAAATCTATAAGTCAAAGCATTTCCTGACAGTAGTAAAAAAAAAGTAAAAATCGTTTAAGATACAGACATACAAAAAAAAAAGTGAAATCCTCCATGGTCCAATCCCTCCCTAGTGAAATAAGTTGAACTTTTGAACCCATATTACATGACATTATTGCATATAATTTTTAGCAATACAGAGCCTCCTCATTCTTGAGATGAAGATTTTCAAAGATTTTATGTTAAACTTCCTACCCCTTTGTGGTTTAAACCAAGCCCCAGGAACCATGATTTGAACAAACTTGAATATTCACTAGATCTACATTGAGATGTTCCTTTATTGAAGTAACTACATGTTATTGTAACCTTCTAATTTTGAGAATTTTTAATACTTTCCCCCAAACGTTGCCCTCTTATTGTGGCCTTACACAAGTTGAATCTTAACCAAATGGGGATATTTTCAATGATCTCACCCCCCCCCCCCCCTTAAAAATTTAAACTATGATCTCTGGAAAAACTTTGATCAGAAAAAACTTACCTGAGCTCTGTTGAGCTAAAATGTCATATTCATTTGTGTGTAGTCAGTGTGTTTTGTTTGTATTCTATAATTTTAATACCATTTAACTATTACATGTACTGCAATGATTGTACATGAAGTTCCTATCTGGATATTGGAGAAAAGTACATGTAAGCATTAAGGTGTTCTTTTCATTCTCAGGTGAATGTTTCTCTTAATTTAGATTCATGTAATTAAAGCTCATATATATGTTATATTAATTTTCTTGAAAGTAGCAAAATGTGTTAACTCATTTGCACAGCTTCCAAGTCCCTAGAGAAACTTCACCAAGATATAACCATGGAAAACTTTAAACAAGACATACCCACCCCCATCAGGGCAGGGCTCTCATACCACTTTTTGGAAATGATGCTGTGGCCATAAAAATTGGGAAAAAATAGTGAATTTGAGGAAAATTTGGGGAAATCATTTTACATACATTGAAATAATTATATATTGGGTTTCTAGTGCTTGTTATCAACTAAATTTCTCATCTGCAGTACAGATGAATGTGAGTAGCAAGTTTAGCTATGATATACATAATATATCCAATTATATGTTCTTTAATTTTGGGGGAGAATGAGTATTGGGAAATTTAACACATTCAATTGGGAAAAAAGTATCTTTTTTGAATATGGGAATGGGGCCTTTGAATGGCCCCAAACATAGACAATCAAGAGCCCTGTAATATGTGACTGCTGTTTTCAATATCATTACCAATTATGAATACCTTCCCTTATCCATGTTTAGATTTGTACAATTGGTGGAGTAAAAATGATTACGTGTTATAGCAAAGAATATGCACTCGGTTGTCATATTTAACTTAACATATAGTTTACCTGTTCTGTTTTGCAATTTCAAAGGATTCCCCCATAGCCTGATTCCATCTAACAAGTCTATAGTATAAGGGACTGAACATTCATGTTTAAATGTCACAAATGCAAACTTCTGTGGACGCCCATCCTTTACAGGAATAGTTACTTTTTCAAGTGGTCCAGCCTACAAATAAAAATGCAATTATTTACTTCAAATACCTTGTACATCTACCTGCTGTATTTAATATGTTGCTTTAAAAGCAACCTGGTGGTTCCTGGACACTCACTCCAAGGATAAATATATCACTGGTTCAGCAGCCAGGGCTGCCTTATACATGTAGCAAGAGCAGCGAGCGGTTTAAAGTGCTGCTCGACACTGCAAGCTCTTAAAGAAATGCCTGGATGAAGAGAAAATTTGGACTTTGCACATTGATCCAAATGAATTTTTTTTCACAGTTACCCCTGGACCCACAATGCAATGAGAATACATCTTGCTGCTAACTACATTCTTGCAGTAGCGACAAAAGTTCACCAAAATAATAAACTCACCTTGATTTAGTGGATATTGCAGATAAATACATGTAGTAGATTAAATGTTCTTTGTTAAAATTCACCCTTACCAGACTTTTTGATAGTGCAACTAACATGTAACTTCATGTGACAGACTAGACAGTCCAAATGTCTGGTACAGATTGAAAAAGCAGATCTAAGTTAATACTGAAAAGGTATCCAGTAATACACATCTGTGCTCACCCTAATAGTCATGCCATCTACATATTATGGACTTAATATATTAACTCCCATTTTTCACCAGTGTCAGCAACATGATAATGGCAGACCTTAGGGTTGGATGATTGTTTTTAAAACTGATCTTGTCTAACTTATAAAAATGTGCACCAAATAGTTATAACATGTCAGTTTCCTATGCATCTTTGCAAGCCTACGTCCAATGGTTCCTGCAATACATACAATGTATGCATCACTGCCATTAGATAGAACGTTCTATCATTAAAATGATAATGTCCTACGGACCCAGTTTAACAATAGAATTTGTTCCATGTATTGGCAATGTAGCAAAATAAACACAGGCGATAACTCAAACTCTGTGCATTTTCTATGAACAATCCAGAGAGTTCCGAATGTCAACATGGCGTGAAAATTTGAAGCGGGGAAAAAATGTTGAGAAATGAATTGAATATTTATATGAATTATTTTTTAGGTTAAAAGGCAAATACAATCTCAACCTGACTTCATTTAATAATGCGATGAAAGAATTTTAAAAAGAAATTGTATACCATATTTTCTACTATTACTTGGCTAGATAGAATGTTCTACCGTTAAAATGATAAATGTCCAATGGACCCGACACAGATTATTCTAACTATTAACTGGCCTATAATTTTAGAAAGTTTAGGAATGGCCTATAACTTTTCTGGTAAATATACCAGGTGTCCTAAAGTTACTTATTTCAATCTGAAACCCTGTGGACATATTCAAACTGTGGTGAGGGCTGTCCTGAGACACAGTTACATTATTCTAACTACACTTCCATCAAGCTCTTCATCCTCAAACTTATTAGCAATGACTCGAATTTTATTATATGAGAAAGATTTTATTCTACAATCTGATTGGCTGAAAATTCCCTTTACTCATAAATAATATAACACCACAGAACATTGTCATTGACCCTTGTAATGTACATGCTATTGCAGTTAAACCACAACCAACACACTTGCCTTCCAATCTGATAATCTCACAATGCCTTGTCTGATCACTGAAATTACATGTGATGCCATAACGACATGAAGCTTCAAGTAGTTCTTTGTCAGACTTTATTGATGTGAATATTTAACAAAATAAATGATCCTATGAAAAAGGAAAAACCCGGTGAATTGAAAGCGAAAATTTCTCAACAAATTTCAAAAAGTCCAAATCTTTACCTGTAAAAACAGCTCATACAAATGTTCTTCTGTTGTTCGTTCGGATAAATTCCCTACCCAAAGCGTTCTATCACGGCTATCCATTATAATTCAGGCATTTAAACAATCGTACAAACAAAAAAATAAAAATAATCTATGTCGGTTTCTTTTTTTAATCAAGCGCCTTACAGTGTATCTATGTAAAACATTCCTATGACTTTGCTTCTAAACTACATAATGTTAGAGATTATCAAAACAGCAAGCAAAAATCCGGAAAAATGACCATCACAAACACGCAAAACTCAATGACATAGAAAATATAAAAATCACAATTTTTTAAGAGTCAGATTTTTTATCATCAACAGACTCCTCAATATACCACCTTATATTTAACAGTTACAGTCATTAGTGCATTTTGTTGGTCCAACCCGGCAGAGACATACGTAACGTAATTTATGTCTCTGGTATATTTGCCACTTATTGGACAACATACTTTTTGCGCATATTTTTTTTATGCATACTTTGCGGCAATTTACCATGATTGTACAGCATTATAACATCTTGCATAATTATATTGACAGGAAAGAAAACAAGCTGAAAATAGAATTGAAAAGTTTTAGGAGAATGCTCACCAAAGAACCCCATCCTCCCAAATGTAAGAAAGGTGTTACGTATACACTAGTATACATGTACATGTAATATTGTCTAAAATGTAACCATGCATGCAATGGCCAATGGAGAAAAGTTACATTTCCTATACTTGTATTTGCACGATATAACGTAGATTGCAGGTAGTATGAATATCATAGTGCAGTAACCTGGATATGTGTACATTAATTAAAATACGGAGCCCCAAATTAACAGTGTCAAAAATAAAAAAAAAAAAAGATCTTTAATTATTTGAAGATACCTGAATCAATCCATTTGAAGCACACAATTCAATTACAGATCTTTTTCCTTTTTAAAAAAATGTAATCATAATAATAAATTATTAAAAATAAAATAAAATCAATAAATACAAAAAATAATGCGCCGTGAATCTTGTTGTGAGCATGATGATATCATAAAATTATTTGCTGAATTGATGCGCGTAGTAATTGGATATTGTTGCGCTCTTCCAATAAATTGATGTCAACAACTGAATATTGATACGCCTTAATTAAATGGAAGAGAGCAATAATTCAATTAATGCCGATTGCGCAGGATAACTGAATTATTTCGCTGCAATTTAATTAATGATATTGTTCATTCAATTAATGCGCGCAGCCATTCTTAAAAGAACAACTATTTAAGTAGGGATATTTTCTATTCAACATATCCATGATTCAAGTAATGAACTGTTCAATTGAAATGACACTCCCCATAATGAATTGATGTGAGCATTAAATCAGTTCATGGGAAGAATAACTGCCTTGATTTGATACACACATCAATTGAATTGATGAGAGCATTTTATGTAATTGCACACGGTTTCCGTATATTCTTTCCGTATTACATGTGATGTGTTCTATCTTTAACGAATATCAAATATCACGACATCTTGTATTCCTACTGAAAGAAACAAAACAATGTGTAATATCCAACTTGAAAGTATTTCATTCTACTTCATCAATCATAAAGATACACATATTGAATCAAATAAAGTTAATACATGTAGTATACATGTACATACAAGGCATGAAAATGTTGTTTTCTTTAAACTAATGAAACCATTTGGTCTTCATTCTCTTCGTCTTTAAATACAGCTCGGTGTACTGTTGCGTACAACTCGGAGGGATCCATAGGAACTTCAACCGAGGACTGTCTGTTGGTAAGAGGGAAACTGTACGTATCAGCCAAAAATACGTCATTTCCGGGTGGTGGCATCGGTTGGCGCAATCTCAGATCTAGATCTCTCTCCTGATAGTCTGTGTCTATCACAGTGCTTCCATTCTCTTTCGGGCGTCTATGATACTCGGTCTGGACTTTGTGGATAGTATAACTAGTATCTCGAAAGTCTCGTTCCTGACTGGGATAGGTGTTTAGAATTTCACAACCCATGACAGGCCGCTCTTTCAGGCGACCCTCTCTCCAGGATCCACTGTGAGATTTTCGTGTTCCCTGTATTTCATTCCCTCGTCTCCAAGAACCCTGCTTGATAATACGCTGGTTTTCTCTGAAGAGAGCCTCATGTCGATTTTCTGATGGTACGTCATACACTAGGTCACCACCTTTCTGCCATTTACCAACCTTCTCTTCGGTCCTATGCCAGTCTCCCATTGTTTCTCCCTCTCTGGACCATTCTCCCAATATTTCTTCATTTCTTTGACAATCTGTCCTCGGGTCGTGATGTATTTCTACTTTTTCCCGCCACTCTCCGATTGGTTTGCAGTGGACAATCTCTGGCTTTTCTTTATAGGACTTAAGGGGTTTGAAGTCTGAGTTTGAATTCACACAACAGCTAAAATGAGAAAAGATCAGTGGAAACCTCATATTTTTTTAATTGTCTAAGAATGGATGCATGAAAGTATTGATTTTGTTTTAATCAAACAGCAACCAAGTGTTTGTATGCATCCGTACCGTCTTGCCATGTAAACGAAAACTGTTACAGCAAACACAAATGCCATTCCAGACAACACTCCAGCTCCAAGATATAGAACTGGGGAAAAAAATAAAACATGATACAGTCAGAGGAGAGCACTGGTTATTTCTGAAATGGATCATCAAAGTGAGAAAAGATAGATGGAAACTAGTGAAAACTTACCGGCACACTTACTTGTTAGAAGTAATTTTTCTCTCTTTGGTTTAGGTTGATTTGTTATATTTTTATACGTGCTTGGGTCATTGACAATAACATTTAGATCAATAGAAGTTGAGAAGAAAGGTGCATCTTCGTAATTTCCTAAAATATAAACCAACCGATTGCACTTGAACAGGAGAACTTTATTTTTTAGTTGCATATAGACATCATTTTCAGTAAACCAATATCATCTCACTTACCATATTGACAGACAAAGTTTAGTTTTCTATCACATTCCGCGGTCGTTAATTCAGCAAGGTCCGAGGTTGAAACACGGAGGGCCAAACAATTTCCCCTTGATCTGTTGATTGATCCGCCTGAGATTGTCCACAATGAGAGCTGAGAGGAAGAAATCGTGCTGTCTGCAAAAGAAGTATTGCCAAGGTATTATTTGTATAATGAATTCATGTGATCAACACCATTGCAGCTATAGAAATGTTTTCTTTTCATAGACACTGTGTATCTATTACGAAAGAAACACTATAGTTATTTCTTTTTATAGAATAATTGAAGTGGAAGACATGATGCTACATGTAACATTTATCCCTATGACTGCATGCATCTTGACCAGAGATGGTTCAGGATCTATTATTTACTTGAGCTGTTGACAGAAATCAGGAAATGAAATGTTCCTCTAGAAAATAGGGAGATTTTACTATTTGGTGTTTTTAGCTCACCTGAGCCGAAGGCTCAAGTGAGCTTTTCTGATCAAAATTTGTCCGTTGTCTGTCGTCGTTGTCGGCGTTGTTGTCGTTGTAAACTTTTCTCAATTTCATCTTCTTCTCCAGAACTACTGGGCCAATTTCAACCAAACTTGGCACAGAGTATCCTTGGGTGAAGGGGGTTCAAGTTTGTTCAAATGAAGGGCCACGCCTTCTTCCAAGGGGAGATAATCATGAATTCATGAAAAATTAATGGCATCATTTAAAAATCTTCTTCTCAAGAACCACTGTGCTTGAAAATATGAAACTTATATGGAAGCATCCTCAGGTAGTGTAGATTCAAGTTTGTTCCAATCATGACCCCCGGGGGTAGGGTGGGGCCACAATGGGCGATCAAAGTTTTACATAGGAATATATAGGAAAACTCTTTAAAAATCTTCTTCTCAAGAACAGCAAAGCCATGAATGGTTATATTTATGGAAGCATCCTCAGGTAGTGTAGATTCAAGTTTGTTCCAATCATGACCCCCGGGGGTAGGGTGGAGCCACAATGGGCGATCCAAGTTTTAAATAAGAATACATAAGAAAAAAATCTGTAAAAATCTTTTTCACAAGAACAACAAAGCCATGATTGGTCATATTTACATGGAAGCATCCTCAAGTAGTGCAGGTTCAAGTTTCCAATCTTGACCCCCGGGGGTTAGGTGGAGCCACAATGGGTGATCAAAGTTTTACATAAAATACATAGGAAAAATTTGTAAAAATCTTTTTCTCAAGAACAGCAAAGCAATGATTGGTTTTTTTATGGGTGCATCCTCAGGAAGTGTAGATTCAAGTTTGTTTAAATCATGACCCCCCAGGGGTAGGGTGGGGCCACAATGGGCGATCAAAGTTTTACATAGGAATACATAGGAAAAAGCAAGCCTTTTAAAAGGTGAATTGATATGACAAATAATGGCTATGCTGTTCTTAGGAAGACAATTTTTATTGATATATCATTTGTATTCCTTTGTATAACTATGATCCCTTGTTATGGCCCCTCTATTCTCCTGGGGGGAGGGGGGGTCATGATTTGAACAAAATTTGAATCTACATTACCTGAGGATGCTTGCATTTAAATATGACTAATTATTGCTTTGCTGTTCTTCAGAAGATCAAAGTTTTACATAGGAATACATAGGAAAAAGCAAGCCTTTTAAAATCTTCTTCTGAAGAACAGCAAAGCAATAATTAGTCATATTTAAATGCAAGCATCCTCAGGTAATTTTGTTCAAATCATGAACCCCCCCCCCCCCCAGGAGAATAGAGGGGCCATAACAAGGGATCATAGTTATACAAAGGAATACAAAAGATATATCAATAAAAATTGTCTTCCTAAGAACAGCATAGCCATTATTTGTCATATTAATTCAAAAGCATCCCTTTGAAGTATAGATTCAAGTTCAAATTACCCCCCCCCCCCGAACCACTTTTATATCAAAACTTTTCAAGACTCAACTGATTTCTGCTTTTTCCTAGCCAGAGTGCTCAGGTGAGCGATGTGGCCCCTGGGCCTCTTGTTTAGCTGTGTATTTTATTCCTACTTTTTAGGTTTATCAAAAAAAAAAAAAAAAAATGAAAACAATTGTTCCAGATTTATATAATTTTCATGTAAATTTTTAAAGGTGACGTCAAAAATGTTCATTCTCTTTCGGTTACTAAGTCTTACAAAAAATCGTCAATATTATTACAAAAATGTAAAGGGTATTCAGCAAAATCAAGTTACTTTCGATTGAACAATAATAAATATCATACAAGGAAATCCTTTAGTGAATCAACAAATCTATATGTCCTACCATCCAGCCATCTCCACGTGACGTCCTTTTTAATGGCTACCCAGAACTTCCCAGAAGGAAGGTCGCCATTAATGTTTGTAGAGGCCAAGGTTCCACTTAGAGCCCTACAAGTCTGCCGGGCCTTGGACCAAGTGTCAGATGTGAAAGATGACCGGAAACAGTGTGTTGTTTGTCCGCAATATGCATCACTGTCTACAAATTAAAGTTAGATGTGAGTATTTATAAACTTAAGATAAAGGAAAAACTAAACAGATGATAATATCAAAAATAGATTGAAATATAGACAGCTTTGAACTAAAGCATCATCTTAGGGATGACGGTTTACTCAGGATTTTATAGTTGACAGAAAGAGATTAATACAATGTACGATATCCTAAATCAAAAAATTGTTCAAATTAACAATATAAGCATGTAATATATCAATATCAATGTTTTACTATTTGAAGAAAATATTCAAGAACTAAGATAAATTTATGGTGAAACAGATGAAATTAGGGCTAATTCTTTAAAAAAATTATTGTTTCATAAAATATTTTTTCTTGCGATATTATTCTGAAAGTTAAGATTCTATCTATTTTGACATCATTTTGCAAATAATACATGTGTTAAAGCTCATATATTTCCAAGCAATTGAATGGCATGCAATGAAGAATATCAAAAAGTTAAACAAAAAGCATTCCAGACAACATATCTCAAGGATGTGATCATTGACCTCATATAATTTTAATACAAGAAGAATAAGGGCAATTAGAGTATACTAAGGCTTAAATAATATAGAGTTCTTTTCATTCAGATTTTTGTAATATTAGATTAGAAATGGGTAAATTAAAATTTAGAAAATCAACAGAGGAAATTAAGACTGGAATAATTACCAAGTTTATTGATCAAACTCTAATTGTATAATTATTTATATTTTATTTTCATTATATTTCATTATCCAAAGAGTTTTCTGTTAAGTGTTATATTTTGTTAATAAAGAAATTATTGGTCATAGTATAAGAAAAAATGAAGAGTAGGTCATTGACCTTGTGATTTGAAAGTGAATAATAACAAGTTACAATCATGGGTCTACAATGGACACTAGGTCATTTTTTTTTCATTCTTATCAGAGGATTTTTTGTCATCTGAGTAAATGTCATTTAAGTGTGCATTATGTGTATATTTTCTATATACATGTACATGAAAGGGTTGGTATCTCTTTTTTCAAGTAAATACAAAGTGACAAAGGAATAAAACATGGATTTTGATATAATTGCATATTTGAAGAGATTCAGCTGATTTGAAGGCACTTAAACGATCCATAATGCTTTAATTCTGAGGGGTTCTCAGAAATCAAACAGAATTATTTTGAAGAAGTTTCAGTGGAAGAGGATGTAATATTGCTATATTAAGACAAATTGAGAAAAGCTCAACACTGAAAAAAAATCAATAAGAAATATTATTTAGCAAAGAAAAAAACCCATTACCAAATCGACATATATACTTCATGTGAGTAAAGCAGTCTGCAGGATACATTTTTCTAGCTCCTGACTGATTTATCTGTACGTAAGCACACATTTCCCCGGTTGTGTCATTGGATATGTTGTCAATTGGACTCCTTTTATCTGAAAATTGTTGTAAAACAAAACCACTTTAAAATATTGTTTTCAAATCAATTATTCTCTAAAGTTAGACGAATTTGTCTTTATCCACAATTGCTTTTTGACAAATTTTATTTTGGTGAAGTAGTGGCTGATTCAATAGCAATTTTGTCAGTATATCTCACAGTGAATCCAAGTACTTTTCCATAGAACAGATTTTAAGCTTTCATCCTCAATTTATGTATTAACGAACGAAGAAAAACCCAACAAATTGGGTTTATTTTCAAACACTGTTATTTCTTTGTTATGACATTAAAGTTTAAAAATCATCCCCAATTTTAAGAACTTAATCACTTACAACTGTAGACGGACACACCCTTTATTCCTCCACAAGTATCGCTCTTACAATGAGTGCATTTTATGTTACATTCATCATTCGACAATCTTGTTAGCTGGTGTAAATGGTGTTCACATAGGCACATCGTACTCTACAAAAAGAAAAGGACTTAAAAATTGTGAAATGACGACTGCCATTATTATTTTGAATAAGATTATCACATTATGAAACTTTTTTTCCAGGAGCATCATTTATTTATGCTTTTTCTTTCTCATTTTTAATATAAGTTAGAGAATTATTTATTAAAATATAGTTATAAATCAAAACAGCAAAATTGAAGGCATAAGCATAAAAGAATTAGATTAAGAACCGGAAGTTCTTGAAAGAACTACTCGACTTATCACTGTTGCAATATATCCTGGATTCATTGTTAAAAAATCTCACATATAAACCAATTGTTCCTTTCCACCCACATTGTTCGAAACAATTTCTTGTGTTGACATTCTGAAGTTGAAATCCTCCTTTAATAAGGGAAGAACGAAAGCAACCTTTGTATATTATAACTTCTTTTGATGGTACCTCATTCTCTGAATAAGAAAAAAAAATACAACATTATACCTAAATTTATGTGTTTCGCATCGGTGTAAAGAATTTTCCATATTAGTTATTATTAATTCAAACAACAAATTGATAATATTTTCTGTGAATTATTGTGGATTTGATAAAGTAGTAGCTTTTTAATAAAACTCCGATAAATAAATGCATGCAATTAATACACATGTTGATGTTCAAAAAAAAAAATTCGATTTGTTAGTAGGAACTACATATATTTCCACTTATTAAAACATCTGAGAAGAGTTCTGAGAAAATGGCAACTTGTTGAAAAAAGTCGTTTTTGGTCCCCAGTTAGCTCTCTAGATGAACATTAAAATTTTGAAACCTTATCAAGCATCTACAGGACACGTTATGGCATATTCCAAAAGATGATTTCTCTACTGCGTAAAATTTCAGAGGGGTCTACGAATCGATTTGTTTGCTTTTTATTTATTTCACATAAACGTCGTTTTTAGACCTCTATTTGGCCACTCGAATGAAAATTCTAAAACTTTATTTCACATCTAAATGTCAGCACCGATTATTTCCAAAAGGTTATTTGACTAGTGTTTAAAATATGTGAGTTCTTAAAAGTGACAGGGATTTTGCAGAAAACATCGTTTTTCAAACCCAATTGACATCCAGATAAAACTTGAAATTCTGATACTTTATGTCACATCTACAGGACACAACCTTGAAACGAATTCTAATTCAAAAGTACTGGTAAGAGAAACTCGAGGAAGGAGATAGTTAGACAGAGGGACCGGGATTTCATCAAAATGCCCCAATCTTCTATAGAAAGTGCGTATATAATGAACTTGTAACCACATCAGAGCCAGGTCCTGTTGATGTGCAATCAATCAGTCTATCGAAGTTTTCATTTTCATCTTGAAGGCCAGTTGGAGGCGGCAAAAACACCGTTTTTCTATCAAAAAAAAAAAAAGCTTTGGTCCCAGACTCTTACATTTTAGTAGCTAAATTAATCATTTTTCGGAATATGATTGTTTGTGTCCTGTAGGTGTGCAATAAACTTTTGGAATTTTCATTTTCATCCAGGAGACCAATAGGGGCCGAAATTTTTAAAGCGCTCTTTTTTTTTTATTTCCTTAAACCTTCCTTCAAAATATCTGTTTGAACAGAAGTTATCCTTCATTAATTCTTTAATTTCAGATTGGTAATGAATTCATCGTATGATAAAAGGCATTCTTTGCTGGCAGGATCATTGATTTATTATTACTGTTATTATTTTAAAATCTCATACAATAAACATTAATTTTGTGGGTACCTGTTGAGTTCTCTGTACACCTATTGTCATAGAAGTTCCACCCATTATCGTGAAGACGGCCACCAACCCAGTACATGGTGTCTGGTTCGAGACTTGCGTCTATTTGTGTGATATTTATTATTCTTGATGACGCTCGTAATATTGCTAAATTTCCTTTCTTATCTTCACATTTAGACTTCGCTATTACCCAAGGAAATTGGTTGGTGAAGACTTCATATTGTGCGTGTACTGAAAGGAGAAGAAAAATCACTGAGTTTAATTATTTAAAACTAAAATCTCAAAAGACATTTTATTAAAGGGTAAAAGAATATTAAATAACATGTATAAAATATACAAATGATCATATATCTTACAATATATTTACCTTTTAGTATAAAAATCAAAGTAATAAGAAATGTCAAGATCTCCATCTTTTCCGACCATGTTAAGCTTAAACATTAACATTAAGCCGGAAATCTATCGATAAATACTTCACTAATTAGGGAAAACGTACTTAACTTACAGCAGAATTGCAAAGAAGCAAAGAGAAGTAGTGGTTTACTCAAGTAGTACTTATAATGACCGCCTTACTGTAAGGTCGACAGTGACGACGTGACAGTTCCGCTTTTTCCTCTGATCGTTTACAAAGGCAAGATTCAAATTTCATCGAAGAGTGTTTCATCTGAACTGGATTGGTGAAAGTTTATATCAGAAAAAAAATTCATTTAAGGTTTGAGCCATCTAGATTGGAAATCACTGATTCTCTCAATATTCTATATAGCAGTTCATCCTGCACAGGCATGGAACCTGACTCGGTAAATCTCGAAGTGAGCAAGATTTATATATAGAGCACTAGTTCCTATTATGGATCGAAATAGAAAAAATATTATATAGGACACTAACAAACAGACCATGGAATATTATAATTATGCTACTGATGGCAATATTATTAAAGCAAGAACTTAGTAGAATATATGTTATATATATAGCAGTTAAATCCATTCTAACTTTCCTAGGCGTATTAAGCACTAATCGCCTTTACAAGCTAAACATCTGCATTGATATTTCAGTTATCGCTCTTTAACCCATCACAAGAGTAAAATAAATAAAATATATTTTTCTCAAGCAGATCCCCCTGTATGAACTTTCGAAAAAAATAATCTTTGCCTACAGTTATTGGAAGAGTGAAGTATGAAGATTACAAACAGTAATCAGCTTCAAAACATTGAAACAAAACAAATTGTGAGCATATCAAACACGGACCTCTAACACATCAGAGATGGAATTAGGTGCCATGGAGGAGTAAGCATCCCTTGTCGACGAGTCACACAAGCTGTGTGCTCTTTGTCATGATCGGGTAAACGGAGAGAACCGTAGTCAATTCAGTATGAATACAATGGGCCTAACAATTTGTACGAAAGATATCCAAGAAATTTATTACCAGGAATCTCGGGGGGTGGGGGGGGGGGGAGGGGGGAGGGGAGGGGAGATTGGGCCACAAAAGGGAATAAAAGTTTTCCATGGAAATCTATAGGAAAAACCTTTTAAAGTCTTTTCCTCAAGAACATCAGAACCATGACTAGTCATATTACTATGCAAGCATTCTCAGGCTATACTGATTCAAATTTGTTAAAATCATGGTCTCGAAGGGTAGAATAGTACCATAGTAGGGGATCGAAATTTTACATGAGATACAGAATTTTTTTTTTAAAAATCTTCTTAAAACCAGCAGGATCATGATCAGTCTTATAAATGTGCAGCCTTAGGCAGTACGTATGTTTACTGTGGCCTCGGGGAGTAGATTTTAATTGTTTAAAGTTCAAAGAAGTAATTACTTCTTACTGTTAGCTACATTTTTTTTTTTAAATTCATCGTTTAAAATAATTTATTCTAAAATTTTTGATTGAATAATAAACGAATAATTAGTTTTACACAAAAATTAATAATAAATTACTTCTTAGCTACAACATGTTTTTAAAGATTCATTGTTTAAAATAATTTACTTTAATATTACATATTTTGGTGGGGTTAAATTTTTGTGATTTGAGGGAAAAATAAAGGTTTATTCGTGGGAATTTGATTTTGTGGTTGACAAAGTGTTGAGTTATTTACATCTGAAATTTTACATTTCGTGGAGGACAGGAATTCGAGGGACTCTTCATACCACAAAAGCAACAAATCTGAATCCCACAAAAATTGGTGATTTCACAGTATTGTATATTAAATTTATTTTATTCGAGAATAATAAAGAAATATTATAGTTTCTCAAAAACTCTAATAATGAAGATAAATGTAAGAAACGTTTGTTTTTGACTATTTTTTGATCTGTATACATTCATGAAATTGCCTCCTTACTTTATTTTTTAGCATTTCTTCATGCATTTTCACTTGTGCTTTGAGTCTCTAAATCCAGTACATTCGGACTGATTATTTGAGTTTACTTTAACCTTTATTTTGGTTGCAGGAACCTTAATTCTTGCAAAAACAAACCATTTAAGAATATCTTAGTTTAAATTATTTCAGTGTTTTTCAGTTACATATCAAAGGCAATATTTACAAACCTATACATTATAAATTCATAGAATTATAAAATAAACAAAGATAAAATGTAAGAATGACCTATTATTTTCACATAGGTACATATACACATCAAGAGAGAATACGTATACAAATATTTACGTTTGGAATTTCCTGCATAAATTAGGCAATTTATTATGTTTAATTAGTTATTGTCATCTTAACTGAATGACTGTCCTTAGGAAACAGAGCGAGAAATGATTTCGCAAATACGAATTAGAAGATCTAAAAATAAGCAGGAAAATCCCATGATGTAATTTTTATGTAACTTTATGTTAAAATCGCACCATACATTTCAATACATTATGTCATCGGATTTTCTATATCTATAATTACTGAGGGAAAAAAGAAAATGTCTGGTATATCAGGCATTCATTATCAATGACATTTATAATTCTAGTCCTTGTCTTAGTTGATTGACACATGTTGCGATATTAATGTCAAAATAATGTTTTTGTTTCACTACAATAAAGCAATTATTCAGGTAGAACAAAATCTGATTCAAATTTATGTAGCAAAATTCCACTTTTTCTAAAATAACGCTATGTATTTTTTGTATAAGAAATATTTTTACATTGAATTTTATGAGAAACTTACCTTTTTATAACTTAGATTAAAGATAAATCATATTGAATAATATTGACAATGTATTTATTTTTATTTATGGGTCATGGTTCATTGTAAAAAAAGCTATAATTGACAATCGTACCCAACTGATTTCAATATATATCATATATAAACCCCTGGTTCACAGTCTCTTAAAAGAAAGTAAATCTACTCGATTTTGATTGTCATTTTCATTCACTATGAGGTTGCTTTTTAAACTTTTTATTGCAGGTTTTATATGTAATTTGTCTAATGCTCGAAGTGAGTATTTTTATGTCTAAAATATTCCTGTACCAAGTTATAACAGAACCTAGATAAACTGACCAATCTTTATATTTATTCTCCTTATTCTCCTTAGATCATTGATTATTTTTACTTTGCCATTGACAGTAAGATCTGGTAGTAAAGAACTGGATCCAGAACACCTTATTTCACGCCTCCGTTCTGTGGAGTCCACTTCGCCTAGCTTAATTACTTCGACAACAAAAACAGGTAATTAAACACATAAAAAAATTATATACACTAAAAATCCTTTTATCCCATGTTTACCCTTTTATCCCGTGGATATTACTCACTGGATATATTTTTCATATCCGACTGCTGTGACGTCACCATGGGTTTTGAGTGAAAGTGATCAAGGAAAAACGAAGTGGATTCCTATATAAAAATAGTGTAAAATATTGATAGTGATGTATAAAACATGGGATAAAAAGAATCTCTCATGATGTGTAGTAAGATACAACTCGTTGTGTGTTTTTATCCCCTCGAAAAGGCTCGGGGATAAAAAAAAAACACACGTGTTGGATAAAAATCATATCCAACTACATATCACGGGAGATCCTATACATATACAACTGATGATTCTAAATTTCAACTCATATATATCCATTGAAAGATTTCTCATTTGTCTTCATAATATCTTTTATCTGCTATAAAACTGCATTGTCATACTGAAACACTAAAAGAAACCACTTTTCTGGTTCTAAGACAAACCACACACACAAATGCTTGGATATTTTGCACTTTACCAATAATATGACTTTTCCCAAGCAGAATACTAGTATTTTAATTGATCATACAATGGTTAGTCATAAAAATAAGGTGATGAATGTGTTTTGATTAAATGTTTATTAAAGATAAAACAAAATAAGCCTTTATGAATATGGTTAATAAAGATTACAAATTTGTATATATTGTGAATTCGAAATGAAAAGGGGTATTTAAATACATACCCCTTTCCATTTCAAATTCCAACAATATACTTTATAACAAGTCATTTTAAAAAAAATGATATTTTAATTTATAAATTTATTTTGAAATTAGATCATTGATAATTTTCAAAATTCCTTTACATCATTGACAGTCAGTGGAAATTTACAACTGGTACTAGACCGCCTTATTTCACGAATGAATATTTCAGGTATGTATGCATGTTGTTTCATAAATGTATGCATTACTCTAATTGATCTTTAAATTTTATGTATCAGTATTTTGAATGCTAAAATTCCGCAATATTCCAAACAAATATCTAACATAAAGTTATCTTTAATTTTTTAGTTAAGACCGGTATACCAGAGATGATTTGCAGTAAGTGTAAACACATATTGCGCCAAACGTATGCATCAGACACCCAGTCAGACTGTAGCCTTTACTGCTTACCCTAGAAGCCATTTCTTTGTGATCCATGTTTCAATCATTTTAACCATGTTTTAACTTTTGGAAGTTAACACTGATAAATTCAAAATCTTAATGTTTAATAAGGAATGTACGAACACTATTGTTTTTGCATTAAATGATTTACAAATATCTTATTTTTCGTTTCTTAAGAGAGGTAAATATGCACATGTGAATGCAACTGAGGGAACCAAAAGCCTGATTTTAGAAGACTTGAGTAAGGTTAACTGCTCTTTGTGACACTTAGGGATCACCCGGCGCCTGTCTGTCTGTCACAGCTTATATCTTTAGAACTGGAAGTTTGTTTGTTTGTTAAACGTCCCTTCGAGAATTTTTCATAGAAGAATACTGGATTAGGAAACTAGGCACAGCCTTTACTATGGTAGCAATGATAATTTCAATAGTGTTGAGAATCTTTCAAGTCGACAGTGTAACAATATGAATTTGATTTTTAACAATACCCAGTAAAGCATAGTACGTCATGCACATCGGTCTTACAATAAACCTTATACACGATGTCCCCTTTGATTCACTACTACCTCATGTACATAAACAGTTAAGTCATCACATTCGCACAGAACTTTACTCTGTCTCTTTGAAAGTTTTAAAAAGTTTATTTGAAAAAGTCAAGGAAAGTGCACATTTGGATTCTTCGACACCAGAATACAGGCTCAAATCTGTGATTATGGATATTGTCAATCATATTATTTTTAGACCGCCACGTGTACGGAAGAAAATACTGCTCAAACGAATCGTTTGTTCCTTAAACTTCATTTTGCCAACAAAGGAATTGACGCTGTTAATAAAAGTAATATTCTTAATCACAAAAGGCTCCAGTCTTGTATTCCACCATACTTGAAGTCCACATCTTGTATTTCTTACAAATATACATCGACTATGCTTCCAAACTTTTTAATTACAAAATACCCCCCCCCCCCCGCCCCAATTCTACTGTGTCTAGATATCGAACATCTGAAACATTATCCTCCAACTCTTTCATGTTCTTCAACCTACAACTATATGGTCCTGCAGGACACGTCATTACTGGTACGCAAATATAGTTAATAACGAGGACCTTAAATCACTTATTTTAAAAGGGCCAAATTTAGGGAACCCCTATCATTCAACTAGTGTGATAATTTCATAAATAACATTAATTCTCTGGAAGATTACGCGAGATGATATGGGGCAAACATGAAAAAGATCTTGACACTTTGTCAGAATGGATTGAAAATATCAGATGGAATTTGAAAGCTCGCATTAAGCGGTTGAGGGGCAATGTATGAAAATCATTTAGTATCCTTCGATCTTCAATAATTCAGAAGTGAAAAAGAATTAGATTGATTACTCGATCAATTTGTACTGGCCCCATGACAAAGCGGGTAACAACATTGTCGTTGTTTGTAAGGTTCATTATTTTAATTGTATTTTAGAGAGGCTGGTTTTAATTCTGCAAGTGCTAATACAACTTATACCCATAACTTTTCTCCATTTCTAAGGAGAAAATTCTTCAAAATCTTATGTCAGTTTTCAATCAATATTCCCAACAATCAAGTTGAATTTCAATTACCATACTAATACTGGATTCCTAAACTACATAAAAATCCTTACAAACAAAGATTTATATCGGGCTCCAGTAAATGTTCTACCAAGCCTCTTTCTTTACTCCTCACTAAAATATTAATATCTGTGAAGGAGAAGCTTCAGAAGTACTGTACAATAATATATTCAAGAAGTGGTGTTAATCAGATGTGGATACTTTGAAATTCCAAAGAACTTAAAGAAATTTAAAATCACAAACTTTTACCAAAATTAATAACATTAAAACATACGACTTTTTAACACTTTATACTAACCATTCCCCACAATAAATTAAAGTCCAGGTTTTGTGACATCATAGACAGCTGCATTTTCAATAAAAATGGAACTCGAAAATTTAATTACCTTGTCATTGGTCATTTGCAAAATTATTTTGTTAAAAACATTCTGACTGTACACACAAGTACTTCGAAGTTAACATCAAAAGATGCTTGGATTTCTGATTGACAATATATTTGTAGTTTTTTGAGAAAGGTCTTCCAATAATCTATCGGAATTCCCATGGGTACCAATTGCAACAATATTTCGTATCAAATTTTCATGAATATAGTTCATTTTTCTTTCTTCATATTTTTGAACGAGCATTTTTCTAAAAAAAAAAAAAAATCAAATTTATCTTTCTAATAAATACATTTTTTGAAAGCGTAAAACCCCCGTATTAACTATTTGAATCATAAAAACTGTATGGTCGTGCCAACATAAGCATACCCCCCCCCCCCCAAAAAAAATAAGCAAAACATTAAATTTTTTTTTCGAAGATAAAAGCGTCTATGTCGAAAAATAAACGTCAATTTTTCAAAGCATTATAGTTACTAAGGTGACCTATTTCTATCGTGCATAAGTTATATTAATTTTGGTGAAGTTAGCACTGGCACATACAAGCAAGTAAATATATTTACTTTCTGAGTTCTTGCTGATTACCAGACTATTTTGTTGATTCTTGGTGATACTTTATCTCATGTTTTAAACAATGTACCTCCTTCTATCGTTTATTTTGTTTTAAAGTCCATTGATTCTTTACAGGTTTGTATTACACTCAGGTGACCGTTAATGCCCTAGGACCTCTTGTGTATATTTTTCATTCTAACAAACATTTCTTGTTTCTGGAATTAATTTCACATCGCCTTGGATATAATTCGAAGAAAAGTATGCAAATTCTTGGTACTATCATAAATTGAAAGTCTCTTTCGAAATAGCTCTACAGATTTTTAAAAATAAACTCTGAATGTCAGAAAACGTGTGTTATACATATATATAACCCAGATTTTTCGATTTTATCTCCACTGTGCTTGGTCTACCATATGCATATTGTTATCTGTAAGTAATTCCTAGAATCATGTTCGGAAGTTTATTTCCTTTCTTTTCTACAAACTGGGTTAAATATATACAAGCTTTCAGGAAGAAGAAACTTGCAGTTAAAAAAAAAGAGCTGCATCGGAGCAAATATCATGGAACTCTTTGCCTTTGTGCTTCAATTTTTTGTGATTTCTAGTCCATGTCTGCGGATCGGAATTCAAGCATTTTTCTTTGGTGGTCCAAATGTCGGAGGTAAAAAAAAAATAAAGAATCCTTAAATTTTACAATAATGAATACAAACAATTGAACCAATCAAACATTTTGGCCATTTAATTGCTTTTGGTACTACTTGTACTAAATGCACTGGAAAGGAATTGTTATCAGAAGAATGATTTTCTTTCTGATCATTGTTAATTTACTAGAAATTGAAAAAAATACGAAAATTTTGAAAATAAAATGGTTGTAATATAGAATGAGTCGACCCACATTGAAATGTTTAATTTTAATGCGTTTTCTTATGTTCGTCACAATGTAGTTAAATAGTTAGAAACATTTTACTACATATCCCATTACAAAACATAAATATAAAGGAAATTTAATTAATTCTCTATCATGAAATTATTTGCAGGTTATATGTTCTATATGTTTGTATTCTTCTTTGAAGTTTTCGGTGGGTTTTCGAGTAAGATATAGATAAAATTCAGCTAAGATTTCTAAAATAAACAATCAATTTCATATATATGATTAGCATCTCTCTTTGTGGTAGGCTTAGTTCTATTTGTCTGCTTTAAATCGCAGATGTGAATGCAAGTCTTGTTATAATAAGATATTAATTTAATTAAGCATCAAGTAATTATATAGATGTATCCTATGGAAAGTTTACATTTCTAAATTACAATAAATCACCAATATTGTGCAAATAAGTAGTCGAGAAATATTATCCATTTTCATTCTTCCATAACTTAAAAAGATTCTTATTTAATAACTATGATTTTTTTAAGAACCTATATATCCATGTAGACTAAAAGCAGTCTGAAAGATAAAGCCCATTACAGGTTCTGAATTCCATTTTCTTTACATAATGATAAACATTTTACAGTAATAACTCCAACAAACCCTAAAACATTAGTAAATGAGGTTTTGGAGCTAAACTGCACCTTGTTTGAGGATTCTGGTCTGAATGCCTCTATCCTAGTGTGGGATATACTTGATGGTACAAAGGCACCAAAGGACACCATGCTTGTTGTTGAAGAAAGAACTTTACTGTTTCGGAAAAACATCAGCAGAGTTGAGGAAGAAGGGACGTATCTGTGCAGGAGGCTTGATGTGGAGGACTATTTAAAGAGTGTTGTGAAATCGGTGTCTCTTGTTATTGAATGTAAGTTGAAAATATATATTAATTTTATTTATCAAAAAGCAAATAATTGCAAACGAAGGTGAGTCTATTTGGCAGCGGATTTCTACACACTATTTAAATATTATTTTTCTACTAGGTAAATTGCATTTATATGATTTTTCTGCAGTCTTGAAAATCAAAATTGGTTGCAAAACCTTAGGAGTTTTTTTTAACTTCAAATTATGTTGGAGATCTTTGTTAAAAAAACTCGATTTTGCTTGTCACATTTCTACATCAGATGTATGGAATACTTAAAATATCAAAATCATATTATGATATTCACAATCTTTGTCGTATGGAGGAACCTTTTTTGCTACAGATGTGGTAAATATGTTTTTTAGATGAACCAGTGCGGGATATTACCAACTTTGATTGTATATTACACGAACAGAGAAATGAGTTTTACTGCAGCTGGAATCTTGGGCTATATAATCACCCAGCCTACCTCGATATAACGGTAGTTATGTAAGTAAAATTCTAATAAATGGTATAACTTTAGGAGAAATGCCACACCAGCATTTTATTTAATAGATCTTTAAGAATCCCTTTAAAACTATGGTTTCAGCATTGAAAGACCGATATTAGCTCTTAATTATTTTACACGATTTTGGGGGCATTTTTTCAGAGAAACTGAAAAAAATGTTTAATTTGCAATTAAGATGCTTTATGGTTTAAAACTTGCTGTTAATAAATGTATAATATGAATGTATAATAAAATATGTAAAGAAAGGCTGGATATATATTTTAACTTAAAAAAAAACTTATTTATGAAAATAAAACATATTATTTGTGAATGTTTTTTGAACCATTGGATAAAATCTTCATAAAACTAGTCACAACTAGGGAGAACATCTTAGTCAATCATATTTTAAAAAAGAAATTGAAATTGCGAAAATTTAGGGGAAATAATTATTTTAATACTTGGACCGATCCCGATCAAAATTAAACTGATCCCGAACAAAATTAACACAAAATAAATAAAGTAATAATTTATTGCCTTCTTTATGTATTCACCACTAAGAAATCTATTTGACTGTCAAGTTCGATTACTTTTAACCCGTATTACACATGAACAAAGGAAAATACTCGTGAAAATGTTATCTATTTCCAATTACTATAAAATTCTGTTTGGGATCAGTTTAATTTAGATCGGGATTGTCAAAAACTTAAAAAATGAATTTCTCTAACAGTTCGAAATTTCATTTCAATTTCTTTTTTAAATATGATTGTCTAACATATCCCTTGCAGCCGTGTCTTGTTTTTTGAATACATTATCCATAGGTTTTGAAAATATTTACAAATAATGTATTTATTTTCATAAACAATTTTTAAGTAAAAAATTCAAATTTCTATCTGGCTTTTCTTTCCATATTTTATTAGATATTCATATGATGCATTTCTTAAAAACAAAATTTTTAACTCTAAGGCATCTTATTGGCAAATGAAATAATTTTTTTCATTTTCTATGATATAATTGGGGGGGGGGGGAATCTTGTCAAAAAATTAAGAGCTAATTATTATCGGCCTTTCTAATGCTGAACCCATAACTTAACAGGGATGTCTTAAAGATCAATGAAATAAAAATTTTGGTGTGGCATTCCTCCTTAAAGGAAATGCTGTTTTGTTAGTTATCTCTATAGAGCAAAAGGTGCCAAAATAAAACGGAGGCGAATATTTCCTTATATACATCTTTATAAAAGAAACCGAATACACGTTAGATTTTTGTGCATACTTCTGCTGGGGAAGTATTTTTTAATTTCAGTTTTCCAGTAAAAGAAGTTTAATACTGAAAATTATTGTACTCTGATTGTTTACTAACTATCCGCTGACTTTTCAAATAGAGAAAATTATTGATAACATGTTATCTTTTACAGGTCTCCAGACAACGGATCGACACTTTTACGTTGTCCACAGAAAGTTAAACAGCAGCAAAACTGTACTTGGACAGCCAAAGATGATCATGCTATCTTGTCCACGTCCAAGATTGTTATCCTTACTATCAAAAACGTGGAATTTGATGTAGAAAAAACCTTCATTAAAGATTTTTCAGCACAGTCAATGAGTAAGTTACAGTACCAATACTTGTGTCGAAATTAAGTGCCAAAAGTATATGCTGACAAAACAAGGTATTCATGTTGTACTTTGTAAACGAATGGATAAGCAATCTGATCTGAGAACGTTTTAGAACATGACTAGATATCTACAAACAGAAAAATGAAATTTTTTAAGGTGGCTAAAATTGATTTTCTGGTGTAATTTTTGAAGAGTTTCACTGAATAATCAGTGATATAGAATGTACCCTATATGTCTAATTTATACGAAATCCCAAAAAGAATCCGTATCATTATATTGTTTTCTTTTTTATGGTAGATTTAACGGCCAGAATAACCTCCAAGAAATAATTTTACTTACTGCAGACACATCATTGAAGAGAAATATGCATCTGGCACTGAACCTGACTGTGACGTCTACTGTCCGTCCTCGTAATCCTCTGCCTCCCGTCTCTCTTGTTTCTATGAAGGACTATAAGTGATATTATAAAGAGACATTCATTCTAATTCTATTAACATTTTGGAATGCTTCACTTATAGTTAATGTTTCAAACACATAAAAGTTAATTCATGAATCATTGAGTATCATAAATAAAAAAATAAAATGATTGTAGTGTCCAAAAAAAGTTCTTTTAAAAATATTATTAAGGAATTTTGGACGACTTCGGAGTATATATATATATATATATATATATATATATATATATATATATATATATATATATATATATATATATATATATATATATATATATATATATATGACTGTAATTTTCATTTTATCAATAAAGATTATGTTTTACATATAAATATCAGGGGAAAAAAATCTTAAACAATGGTGATTATTTAATAATAAATTGAAAACAAATAAAAGTATTTAGTAATGTAAACTTATGATGACTTAATTTTTTTTTTCTTCACAGTCTTAATCAGAACTCTACATTGACATTCTTATGTACGGTAACATCATAGTAACAAGCAATAATTGATGGCATTTTGTGCATGTAAAATTAAGCGCCACATTTGAGTGAAGCAGTGAATATCTAATATCAATATAAAGGGTTTTTTTGAAAGGGTTTTTTTCTCTCGTAGATGTTTATATAGATGCTTTCACAACTGATTACAAGAACTTAATTTGCCCCTCATTGCCGTTTACATTTAATTTCAGATAATGTAGGACCTTGTTATAATATCTTTTAATCATGAATAATGTCATCATTTCACTTAAAATACGTTGCATTATTTGTCTCACTATAAAATTTGAAAATATAAAAAGGGAATCCGTGATTTGATATATGACAAAAAACTAAAAATAAACATAAATAGATTCTGTAAATTCGTCAAACTGAGATGATGGGCATATGATAAAATAATCTCACTGTATTTATGATCAGAATGATTGATAGCATTTGATTGCTGTATATAAAAGAGAATTTTTTTAAATTCTATGTTAAAGTTGTGTATTCAACATAAAAAATGAATCGATGTACTTTTTTTATTATACATCCAGTTAATGCTTACTAGTATCTTTACACAGGAAAAAAAATGTACGGACACACTTTGGTAAGTTTTCTTAATGCATACATGTAGCTTAAAAGTTGAAACATTAAAAAAAAACTTACAGAAAATATCCATATATTCTGCATTTCCTTTTGTGATTATTCGTACTAAATTATTGTTTAAATTATATCTTAATATGACTGATCATGGCCCGGGCCGGAATTTAATCCTTGTTTGAGCTAGAAAATTTTGTCAAACGACATATCAACAGACAGGCATTTAATTTCTTTAAACAGAAAAGCTCACTTGAGCTTTTGGCTCAGGTGAGCTATATTAGGAAATTTTGAACATATTTCCCTAATTATGTTGAACGAAGCTACAGTGTATAATCGTTCTCAGAAAACACCAAATCAACGATTTTTGATTCTTTTTACTGTTCAATTACATTTAGTTCTTTTTAGTATGAATGTATCAAAATCATCTGTTTTGGTTATGAAAACAAACATTTCTTGCAGTTTCACACGTAGTACAAGAGGGACAGCAGCAATTACAACCTCAAGGTAATGAAAACTACGTCAAATATTCAGAGTCACAAGGTATTTAAGGTGTTTTGAAATATGTTTATGCTCAATCCTTCATGGCACCTGATCCCACCTCTGAAGTTTTTGGAGGCCCGTGTTTTCTCCGCTCCCTATTTGTATTGTCTAAATAGACTCTGAGCTTTAATACTGTTCCTTATCTCTATATTTCATTTTATAATTAAAAAAAACACTATTATGAAATTAAAAAAAAAAACTTTATGATCTTGCTTTTGTTCTAGAGCTCTCTCCTCTTGCTGATTTTTGCAGACAACCGGATAACCAACGAATATGTAAAGAATTATTAACCTCCCTTCTCAGAGGTAAGAAGATTTATTACTACGGTTATTTTTACGTGTAAACATCTATTTTAATCATCCAATCATAACGAAATTAACCGTAGAAATTTATTCTCATACGAAAATTTAAAAGACGTCATTAAAATATCTTAAATCAAATTTGAAGACAATATGCAGTTAAAAGAAGGCAACATCGTTATCGGTACTTCATTGTGGAAAATGCATTTTAATTTTACAGGAAGATGTTTCTCTTATTTAAGCTGATTTATACATGTATAAATCTAAATGTCCAACAAAATTTATATCTTTTCTTTGTTCAAGATTATCAAAGTTCTAAAAATAATCTACCTGATATTAATAGTAAAAATAGTAATAGTTATTAGTTGATAGTAAAGAGATTTATTTAACATTTTCATAGTTCTATACGTTGCACTGCAGTTCAGTTACAACATCAAGGTAAAGTGTGTCTTTATACATGTAGTTATTTGTATTGCTAAAAATATTTTTCGTAATAATGATAAAAAAAATAATTTTTTAATTATGTTTTCTAAGAAAATTCTTATTCTTATCTTAAACAAGAAGTCCAAGGACCGCCATTCTCAACTGAATAACTTTGGTCCTGCTTTTTCTTGAAATCAGTTTTTAAAAGTTTTCTTACATCCTTATCCGCATGAACAATTTTGATCATATTCCTCGCGTCCATCCCAGCTCCATTTGGTCATAGCTTAACCAAAGTGAAATCACACTATACGGGTATATGCTGGAGAAGTAATTTTTCCCTCTATACATATATAATGTAAAATTTGATCCCCGATTTAAGCCCCATTGTAACCTTTCGTCTAAAAAAAGTTTAGAATCAATACTACTTCGGAATCTTAGAACATTTATATGATTCAGTATGACCCTGCTATACTCCTGGAAAAAAGTATTCCTTTTAGGCATGATTTCTTATTTAAAACTTTGAATTATGATTTCAGCCTAAGCCTAATCCGGGGCACAATGATTTGAACAAACTTGAATCTGCATTACCTGAGGATGCTTGAATATTAACATGACTAGACATGGACCAATTGTTTTGTGAGAATCATTAGATATAATGATTCTTATATATCCCCAATATTATCAATCCCCTATTGTTTTCCTACCAAATACACGGGGACATTATATGAACAAAATTTAATCTTCACTACATGAAGTTGCTTTAGCACACGTTTCAATTTTTTTGGCTGGTGAATCTTGAGATTTTTGAATTACACTGCCCTATTTGTGCCTTTTCTTGTTTATCTCACAGACCATAGTCCATCTTTTGGGAAAATAAATACTGTATACAGGAAAATTTTATTTTGGCCCCAGTTGGGCGAATTTAAAACGTGGCGAGTTCAAAGAATACAGTATAATTTCTTGAACCGAGCTCTGACTGGGCGAATTTAAAACTAGGCAAAACTGTTTGCGAGTGTGAAAGGGCGAAAATACTGTAAATCTGGAATTTTTTACTGTAGATAAATTTTAGGAAATTTGCGCGTGCATTGCATTCGCAAAAATATTTTTCTAAAAAATAAATCAACGACGAAAAATGTAAACAAAAATTTTGCTGACAGCTGGTGTCTTTTTTTAATCCTGTTAACGGTGTTCGTAAGCAGTGGTCGTTTGTATACTACAAGCTAATTACCCGTGATAATCCGTGCGTGAAGAGTGCCTTCACTACATTCAATATCGTCCGATTGTTTGAAAGGCAGTATGTATCTCTCAAATTATTTCTCCAAGAAAGAGATAATTTAGATTTTAATATTGTATGTACATGCTTAATTTATTGTATGTATACGCATACAAATGTAACTTATTAACTGTTATGAAAATTTTTAAGTGCTTTTTAATTTTAGCGGCAATGACAATTCGCAAAATTTTGAAACGTAAAAATTAATCAACAGCTTTTTGACATAGATTCGCAATAATAAATCGACGTAAAAATTTCCAGATTTACGGTAACATGGTGTGGAAATAACCCTACATACAGTTTATCTTTAATAAAAAAAAACTTGTATTAGGTTTGATTATATTGGCGAAGTGGATATTGAGGGGCAAATGTAAATATTAAAAAAAAATTTACAAGAATGATAATGACAACAACAACAGAACTATTTACTATCGCGGAAATTAGGTATTTGTTCCGGATTTTAGTTTTAAAAACCCTCTGGAAATACGCTTTCAGGCTATGCCCTGATATGTCTATTTAGCAATAATGAGGCCTTCGAAATTATAATACATTCATATTTGGTGAATTATCATTTCCAAGTTGACAAAACCGAGGATAATGTAATAATCAATTATTTACATGTAGGAGTTATCAAATATCAATCGGAAAACTAAGAGTATTCCTTACATGATATTACTCAAATTACGGACCAAAATATATATATATATTTCTGAAATGGCGTAAACAGCTCTGCGGTGACAGTAAAGCTCACTAAAACCTTTATTTTGGAACACTCCATTGCATCTTGTCCCTTTTTAAAAGTCAAAGTTTTTGATGTGTAATCATAAAAAAGGAGGTTTTATTTTGAATTTCATATCAGCTGTATGTATAGTTCATTATAAATAAGCTAGGCTTGGAAACAATAAAAACAACTCTTTCATAATGTTTCCAGTAACATAATGTTTTAGATACTATTGTTTGATGCAAAAATGAAAAAAAAACTTACTGTTTTCTTAAAGTTCCTCAAGCAATCAGCGGATACAGCAGTAGTTATAATCTTCAGAGTCTGATGTGTAATTTTTGCCTTTCCCACTACATGGAAAATCACTGTTCACATTACTGTTATCAAGTGTCTTGAAGATATCTGTAATTTCCATGAGCTACAAAACCACACATTACGAAGGACTTGCAAACAATTTTCTGTTTCAATACAATGATAATACATGTAAGAATAAAAATAAATGTATAATATTTATAACTGTCGACTATCAAGACATCTTATGTACAAATTAATTTTTTTCCCACTGGCTGTATTGTATATATCAGGTGTATATTATCAAGATAATATTTATTTATTTGTGTGTTTTAAACTTGTTTAAATAAAATTTATTTGCAAAAATAATGGATCCATAGTAAACATTTTATGACGTCCATTTTCTAGT